TTCAGAGAGGAAGGGAGAGGGAGAGAGAGATAGAAACATCAATGATGAGAGAGAATCGTTGATCAGCTGCCTCCTGCATGCCCCCTCTTGGGGATTGAGCCTGCAACCTAGTCATGTACCCTTGACCGGAATTGAACCCCGGACCCTTCAGCCCACAGGCGCGACCCTCTAACCACTGAGCCAAACCAGCTGGGGCTAAGCACCAAGTTTTAATTATGTGCATTGAATCTTTGACTTAACTGGAGCAATTCCATCTTTCCCAAGTAATTGAATCTACTTTGTAAACTGTGTTCTAATGTCTTTTTCTTTTCTTTTCTTTTTTTAAGGTTATCCTGAATACCACATGTTTAACAATTTGCCTTGTGACATTAGCCAGTGTTTTTCACTGCCTCCAAAATATCAAAATTGCTCTGGAAATTGGAGATATACTTGATTTAAAAGAAATAACTTTAACAAATGGACAATATGTCTATTACAAATACACCAACAAGTAATGATGCTTGTCTGAGCATTGTACATAGTTTGATGTGCCATAGACAAGGTGGAGAGAGTGAAACATTTGCAAAAAGAGCAATTGAAAGTTTGGTAAAGAAGCTGAAGGAGAAAAAAGATGAATTGGATTCGTTAATAACAGCCATTACTACAAATGGAGCTCATCCTAGTAAATGTGTTACCATACAGAGAACATTGGATGGAAGGCTTCAGGTTAGTCTTGTACTTGAGCTTTCATATATCTTCTGTAGTGGCAGATTAAAAAAGAAATTCTTGTTTCCTTTCAGTTACTTTGGGATACTTTAATTCTTGCTCCATCTCTTTAGATATTACACAACCTGTACCAATACCCACTATGGGAATATATGGAAGAATATGTATTCCATATAATAAAGACGTATTTTAAAAATTGTTTAATGTTCTGACTAAAAAGTTAAATGTAGAAAATTTGGAACATAAAAATAAAAGGCAGAAGTAAACCCATACCGTTAGCATTTTGGTACTTATTCTTGTTGCTTTTTAATGTTTTTTTCCTTTTTGGTATTATGCACATTTTTGAAACCTGAGTTATACTTGTTCTTTTTTAAAAAATAATTTAGAAATCTGATAATGTATGTTTGGTACTTTTATATTAAAGAAATCTAGAAGAATTCACGGATATCTTTAAAACTTAGGTTAAAAAGCTTATATTTGACAAATTTTCTTTACCTTTTGTTTTAACTGGTCATATTTTTTCATGTAGAACTACATAATATATCTCCAGTCCTTAATATTTTTAAAGAAACATGTCATTAGATTTAACATTTTTATTTCTAGATTTGAGGCATAATTTCCACAACAAAGCCATAGTTTTTTTGCATTTTCAAAACCTAGCACAGGCTTTGAAATCATACCTAAGCTCACTGCTTTGTGACCATAGCCAAGTAAGTTATTTTGAGCTTTAGTTTTCTCTCTTCTTTTTTTTCCTTTTAACATCGGTGAGAGAGAAACATCGCTTCAACTGCTTCCTGCACACTCCCTACTGGGGATGTGCCCGCAACCAAGGTACATGCCCTTGACTGGAATCGAACCTGGGACCCTTCAGTCTGCAGGCCGACGCTCTATCCACTGAGCCAAACCGGTCAGGGCTAGTTTTCTCTTTTATGAAATGGAAATTAAAATACTGACTTTATGGGATTGTAAGGATTAAATGAAAACACGTATAAAGTGCCTTGTATAATGTATGATGCATAACTGATGCTCAATAAATGGTTGTTTCTTTTTCCTAGGTGGCTGGCCGTAAAGGATTTCCTCATGTGATCTATGCCCGTCTTTGGAGGTGGCCTGATCTTCACAAAAATGAACTAAAACATGTTAAATATTGTCAGTATGCATTTGACTTGAAGTGTGATAGTGTCTGTGTGAATCCATATCACTATGAACGAGTTGTATCACCTGGAATTGGTAAGTAAACTTTGCTTTTTTCCTTAGAAGCAGAAAGGGAAACCATCTCAATAGTGCTTTAATTTTTCTAAGTTAAATTATAAATTTGAAGATGGCCCAGGACTTCCAACTAAAGTTAAAGAATCAGACATTTTTAATGAAATATAAATATTTAAATTTCAACTTTGGAACACACTTGTATTTTGATTGCTTAAACAAAATAGTTGGTATTTTGCCCATTTAGAATATTGTTTTGGAAAATAAGATGGAAAGCGTGATAGAGTTGAATATTTCATGTATTATGATAGCATTTATTCTTGAATTGAAATGGGACATGAAGTTTTGACTTTGGCTTATATTTACATTTAATAATTTAAAATATAATGGAAAATATTTTCATGGTAATGATTAATGTTTCATTTTCTTTCCCCCTTTTAAAAATGAAGATCTCTCGGGATTAACATTGCAGAGTAATGGTAAGTAACCTGTTTCTTGTAACTTTCTCTGTTTTTTTTTGTTGTTTTTTTTTTTATTCAGTCTCCTGTATTTTTCATTTACTTAGAAATTGTGTATACTGGTTCATTTACAAGAAAAAGCTTGCCCCTTTGGAAATGTAGGTTTTGGGGGTTGCGTGCATCATTGTTTAAAACTGGATTTAAATAAGCTGTTGGTGCTTTTATTTGAAATGCTGTTTATGAATTAAAGTAGTCTAAAAATATAATAGGGGGATCATAAAACATACAAAGGAAGAATATTTTTGAATCGGTTAAAACTGGTTATTTTGGAAGAAAATCTAACAGAGGTGGGTTTAAATGGGTATAAATACCTGTAATGTTTGGTAATTTGGAATCTTGTATAATATTAAAAAATACCAGTATTCTAATCTTTCTTCATTTCAGCCTAACTTATTTTTATGAATGATAGGGAATTTTAAGAATGATTTAAAACTATATATATTAATATTTTTTTCAGTCTTGTTACATTTTGAGTAAATTAAGCAAGGACACTTTAAAGCAGTGGTTCCTAACCTTCTGGCCCTTTAAATACAGTTTCTCATGTTGTGACCCAACCATAAAATTATTTTCGTTGCTACTTCATAACTGTAATGTTGCTACTGTTATGAATCGTAATGTAAATATCTGATAAGCAGGATGGTCTTAGGCGACCCCTGTGAAAAGGGTGTTCGACCGCCAAAGGGGTCGTGACCCACAGGTTGAGAACCACTGCTTTAAAGTATATGCTGATCACAGATGATCTAGTCCTATTTTAAAAAGGAGAAGGTATTTTGAGGAGGGGAAATGCAACAAATGGGTGTGTGTGTTCTTTGTGTGTTTTTTAGTGTAATATGTGAGAACAGAGATCTGTTAAAACGTTAGCTCTGTTATTTAGAACATGTTAATCAACTCAAAATTCTAAGAACTAATTAATTTGCAGAGAAACTCTGATGAAGAGCAACTGTCACCTTAAGGAGGTGTGCCATTGTTCTGGGGGGAAGTTAGTGGCTCAGTACCTCTTCTGTTGCAGAATCTTAGAGGTGGGTCAGAAATATCTTCTGACCTTAAACAAAATTTAGGAAGAACATGAAAGCCCACTTGTTTTTATTATCCACTTTTCTTTTGTGCCATTCGTAACAGAAGAATACTCTAGTGCCCTTGGTACTTGTTAATGGTTATTAGGTTTCTTGAAACAATTGGTTGATAATAGAAGCTGTTGTGATGGTCTGGGAAGGGACCCAGATTGGCTAAAGCCCTGTCGCCATAGATATTGATACCATGTCACTTCCCATCGTCACCATTCTCCATCCATGTTTTTTGGAGAATTAAAGCATTTAGCTCAAGGGGTGTTGGGGGTTGGGAAACTGTAGTGATAGCTACATTAGAATCTCTTGGGGGGTGTTGTTGAGGGGTTCCAGCTCTGAAGACTCTTCACACCCCTTCCCTATCCTAAACTACTGCTGTTATTGAGTACCATTATTTGGGTTGGATTTCTAGAAGGGAATTTAAGTTTGACTTTCTGTCTGGTCCTAAACCTTTAGGGATATTCAGTATACTTTACTTTCAAAGACTATGTTACATAATAATTCTAGTTCCTGGAATTGGATAGCTATCAGATCTGACTCATACTTCTACCATGTGTTAAATTAGCAAAAAGATATAGCTCAGTGCTCAATCTCAATTTGGTCTCATCTGGATAAATAGTTTCCCCAGCCATTTGATTTTTGTCTGCCTCATGTTATATATTTAAGGTGATTATTATTTCTAAGTTAACTAAGGAGTACCTCTTCAAAACCATTGTTGGAATATAATCTAGCTTCAAATTTCAAGGGGTCAGTCAAATTGATTGATAAAATATATCTGATGCCACTACCTCTAAATAAATAGCTTTTGCTGATAAAGTAGTATGCTTTTCAAATATTATAAAAAACTCTGAATTATTTACACTATTATTAATTTTAGGTATTATAAGATTTTTTTCTAAGAATAGAAGCTTATAAGATTTTAAAATATGCTTAATTTTCTATATAGCTCCACCAAGTATGTTGGTGAAGGATGAATATGTACATGACTTTGAGGGACAGCCATCATTATCCACTGAAGGGCATTCAATTCAAACCATCCAGCATCCACCAAGTAATCGTGCATCGACGGAGACATACAGCACCCCAGCTCTGCTAGCTCCATCTGAGTCTAATGCTACCAGCACCACCAACTTTCCCAACATTCCTGTGGCTTCCACAAGTGAGTTGTAGAATCAGATGTAGTCAGCAAGTTGAATTTCCTTAAACCATTGAATATTTACACTTGGAGGGAAACTCCAAATAAGTAATAATTAAAAGTACTGTGGTATCTATTTTAAAATATGTCTTTATTAATTTCAGAGAGAGGAAGGGAGAGGGGGAGAGAGAGAAACGTCAGTGATTAGCGAGAATCATTGATGGGCTGCCTTCTGCACACCCCGTACTGAGGATCAGGTCCGCAATGGGCATGTGCCTTGACCAGGAATCAAACCATGACCTCCTGGTTCATAGGTCATTGCTCAACCACTGAACCATACCGGCTGGGCTGTACTATGGTATCTTTCATTGGTAAATAAGTATTAAATAGGTTGTTGGGAAAATATGGTTTGTAGTTTACTTAAATATTTTTATTTTGATGTATAGTCACTTGGAAGTTAAGTAATGACTGATTATAATATTGATTTAAATTAGTGGTCTAATTTGTACTTTATCTACTGTTATATGCAGAAGTAAGAAGCTTCTTGAGCTTTCAGATACTTTTTAGAGAAATAGTTAAGTAGTTAACAAGTTGTTTTAAACCAACATGTTTGTAAAAATCTATGGTAGTGGAATTGCGAACTTTCCTTTAATCAGTGTTCTTTTGATTTATCTGGCAGACTATTGTTTTATAATAGTCATCTCAGTCTCCTATTGTGCAAACTTAGAAGAAGGGATCTTGACGTACTAATATTCCTCAAGATAAATGTTAAGTATTTTAGTCAATTTTGAAATAAAGCTAAATTCTACATAAGCTAACACTGTGTTTTTTCAAGTAAGAAGTCTATTTCAAAAAGGTTTTTCCCATAATAGAGGTGCCACCTTCTCTGGCACAGGGCTATTAGGTTCAACTTTTCTTGGGCCTGATCAAGGTAATAATGACTTGGTTCTGTTACTACTGTTATTTATTTTTACAGTCACAAATGGCTGGACAATTTGCTGCTTGGAATAGCTTTGTAAAATTAATCACAGAGTAGGTTGTTGGCATGTATATGTTATTTGCCCCTGGTTGCTAAGGAGATTGTATCTAAGCCCACATCAGCACTAGATGTTAATAGATTTGGACTGATACTTTGTTGGTCCCTACCAAAGGGAGCATTATTCTGTTTACTTTAATATCAGATTAGATTCAATATATAAATTTGATCTTTGGAATAAATGGAGAACTGATTTATATAATTGAGTTTTTGAGTAAAGCATACCAACTTTCCCCCTCTTTAATTCATTTCATATCTTAAAAGCAGTATCTTTTCGATTTGCTACATGAGATGACTACTTAGATATAGTGTTTATGTGAAAACGTGAGGATATAACCACTTGGTGTTTCTGTTCTTATGTATATACTAGAGGCCCGATGCACAAAAATTTGTGCATTCGGGGGGGAGGGGGCAGTCCCTCAGCTTGGCCTGCGCCCATTTGCAGTCCAGGACCCCTTGGGGGATGTCCACCTGTCGACTTAGGCCCACTCCCCAGGGGATCAGGCCTAAGCTTGCAGTCAGACATCCTTCAGGCAGCCAGGGAGCCCTCGGGGGATGTCCAACTAAAGGCTTTGGCCCCCAAGGGAGCTGTGATGAGGAAGCCGGGGTGACAGAGGAGCCATGCTGTCCCGCCCCACTGCCCTGGGTCGGGTTGCACACGGGACACCCGGATGGTGGCCGGGCAGGCTGGCAGATCACTGCTGCCCCGCCCGGCCACCCCGGGTCGGGTCGCACATGGGATATCTGGGCAGGCCAGCGGATCGCTGCTGCCCAACCCAGCCGCCCTGGGT